ATGTGTATTCGTAGTTTTCAGGGGAAAAATCCGGTTACAGACTTTTGAGCACCAACTTGTATGAAGCGGCCCCATTGTGCGAACAGCTGTCAGCCAAAAATCGCCAAACTCGTTTTCAAAGTGTTTTCGTTGTCAGTCCGAACATGGTATAAGAGGAAATGCCGAACCAATGAATTTAGCCTCCCATTTTGCAAACAAAAGGTGGTATGTTATATGTATTCATGACCAGGGTTGCCACATTGGTAAATTGTTACCAAAATTGGTAGAAAAAATTTGGGTTGGTAAAAGGCAAATTTTGTTTTCATTTTGGTAGATTTTTGTTGAATTGTTTAGTTTGAAAAACAAATAAAACTTTTCGTTACCGTTTTATTTTTCGTAGTTATCTTTTTATTACAAATTTCTTTTCAAAAGTGCAGTCTACTTTATTGCATTAATTTTCGAACACTTTAATGCACACTTTTTATATACATACGAATTAATGTATATCGATACAAGGCGAACATATCGTGCTCCATTCAAAACTCTTTTTACTGGAATTCGGTGAAGCTTTTGATTGCCTAAATATTTTAAATGATTATTTAAATAAAAAAAGAACGGTCAAGTATGTAATTACCCACTTCGAGATTGTTTAGTCTCAAGTATTATGGGCTATAAAACTCCATACCTTAAATTGTTCAAAAAATTCATAGTAAAAATTTCGAAATTTAGACGAAAATTTTTTTAATTTTTCTAAATGTTGTAATTAGCTTGAATCTTTGATTTTTATATGTTTGGCTAAAGCGCAAACAATATTCTTATAAAATAATACCAAAATAATTTTCTTAAAAAAAAATGGTGAATATTAAAAAAAAATCACCAAGCGTTTTTTGCGTCACTGTATTTATCTATACTAACTCCAGGCAATGGCAAACCTCCGAGTGTATTTCTGCCATGAAAAACAGCTTCTCATAAAAATACAATCGCCGTTCGGAGTCGGCGTAAAACTGTAGGTCCCTCCGCTTTGTGTGACAATATCAAGGCGCACGCCAAAAGTTGGAGGAGAAGCTCGGCCAAACACTAACATATGTGTAAGCGCCAATCTATTATTATTATTAACTCCAGTTGAAGGTTTTTCAAATGATGAATTTTCGTTGTTGCCTTTAGTTTCATCACTTTCGCTTTTGGTTGAAGGAAACTGAGAAGATGCCATTAATATGATCTCTTAAATAAAGAGTTCCTTAAACACAATTTGAATTCTTATTGAATTAACTGAAAAAAATAACAAAACTATAGTTTTCATTAAAATAACTAAAAAAAAATTGGTAGATATTTTCCACAATTGGTAGATTTTTTTCAAGTGGAAGGTAAGTATTTTTTTTTGTAAGTGGCAACCCAGTTCATGACTTGAACGTAAACTTAGCGGCAGATGAAGCAGGACCACAGATTATATTCCTAAAATAAAAGCTAAATTTAGGAATATAAACAAATAGAAATGTTCAAACTACAAGCTCAAAAACAGTAATTGATGCGGTGTTTTCAAGATATTGTAACGCCCTTGATTCACAAGTATAAACAAGTATCATATTTTATCAATCATACCGATAATTTCATGCATTCAAAGAATTAAAAATGAAAACGAATAACAAGATTTTAAATCCGCAAAAAAAATAATAAAATAAAATAATAAATATAAATAAAATTAAGTGAAATTTATATTTGATTTCTACCCTAACCTACATGTGTATGTATGTAACTGAATCGCCTAATAATAGGTTTACATATAAATAGATTATCCTCATTTCCGAGTTTAACTCCCAAATCTGTAATTAGAAAAAGAGATTAGCCGTACAAAATTATAATTATAAAATAATCTCAGATTAAACCGATAACTTTTTGGTGTACAACCTAGTTGTATCGATTATACTTGTGAAGTAGAGCAGGAATCTCAAATGTAAAACAAAAATAAAAATTGACGCTAGCAAGGAAAAGAGGTTTGTAAAGGTATTTTTAATAAAATATTAAGTTAAAAATATTTAAATTGCTTAATATGTGTAGCAGAAAAAAGTGACCACGGTGGCATAGAAAAAAAGGCTGACTTCTAAAACGTGTCAATACAATGGTTGGAAATTGTTATACTGCGGTATTGAAACTGTTTTTATATGCAGATTTGCGACACATTGCAACCATATAGATTGCATATTTTAAATATTCAATATACCAATGGAAAATTCAGAAAAACCCCAATGAAAAATTTTTCTGAATTTTCCATTTCTAAAACACCAATACTAACCAACAACAAACGAAGCATCAACTTTGTTTCTGATGCGCTGATTGCTCTAGCGATGCGTTTCGATAACTTTTCGGATGCGTTTTGGAAAAGTATACATTATCAACATTTTGTAGTTCGGCGTTATGGAACATTTTACTTTATACGTATGCAAAGCAATTGACGTTTTGGAAGTCAGTCAAACTTAACTTTTCCTCGAGTTGTGAGAATAACAAGCACAACCAATTTGACAGCTAACGAGCTTTGATTGAGATTATATTTATATGTCAACGCACTTTTATGCCTTGCCGTACGCATATGTTTACACATCGAATTTCATGAGTACCCAGTACTCACGCCTTTTTTTATTTTAAAATCAAAAAATATTTAGACGTCGCTCAAAGCGTTTCCATATATTTTATATGGAAAAAACAACTTTTCGTAGAAATGGTATATAATTCTTAAAAATCAATATTTTTCGATCGGAAAAATCTGCTTCTCTGCAGGAGATCCCCAATAATTTATTTAACCATTTTTTCTTAGTAACTACAATTTATAGCTCCTCCAAAAACCCCAAAATACCCCGAAAAATGCAATGGAGGCCAATAAAAAAAACGTTAGTTAAATAAACAAGTTGGTATTACTATTGAGGTGAGAGAATTAAAATTCCGACTTTAGTCTTTTCGAAAGATCATTACCAAATTAACAGAAATAAGTTAAAAAGATCGCTTACATTTCATGTTAATGGTAACTTAAGTAACCTTATATCGTAATTTAATTTTTATTTCAATTAGGTAATTCCATATGTATTTTTTATACCTAAGACCAGTGTTGCCACTGCCTTAGCCTTTAAAGCATCCATAAAAAATCGAAAACTGTATCCAAATGTATCCACCGAAAAGAGTTTCTTTCTTTTACTGAAACTTGGCTGAAACCTCACATTTTCGNTGAAACCGGCTAAAAACTTACATAAACTTATATTTTCACATAATATATATACACACATTTACTCACACATACATTGTTGAATATTTAATTCACAAGGATGTTTTTCTCTTTCGCAAAAGTCGGTCCTATCATAACTATGTAAAATGTGGATTCTTAACCTAAAAATATCAACAAATACAACCCTGCTTTCAGTTTTCGTCGACATTTTTATGCAACCTATCTTTGCTTCCTGCCCACCGTGTGTGCCTAAACGCATGTATGTTCCTGACGAACAAACACAGTTATGGTTCACTAAAGAACTGAGAAATTTGAAAAACAGAAAGTCACGTTCTTTTAGATTACACAAAAAACCGGTTTACACTCATACTATGTAAAATACTCACTTTTGCGTCATAAGTTTTTTGAATTAAACAAAAAGTGTTAAAAAGCTTACTTGTGTAAAATCAAACGGCGTATAATATATAATCCCAAATCATTTTATGACTTCGTAAACTCCAAGCGAAAAGTACGTGGGTTTCCTTCCGCCATGAAGTATTAAAATACCGTCTCTAGTGATAATCAAACAATTTCTAACATGTTCGCTCAGTTTTCTAAATCCAATTATTCCACTAACTCACATGCTAACATTGACTATCCTTTTAAACTATGTCGTAGTTTATTTGAAATCCTTAAAGCAGTCCTTCAATTATGGTCCTGACCAGATCCCTACTTGTATTCTTATAAATTGTGCTGATTATGTCTATGAGCCGTTAACAGTGTTATTTAATTTGTCTCTTAAAGAGGGCGTTTTTCCAACTATATGGAAGGAGTCGTACATAACCCCGTTACATATGTAAAAATTAATTGAAATACGCTTTTAGATTTTGCCCGGTCTTGCGACAGTTTCGGCTTGTGGTTTAATACTAAATTCAATTTCAGTACAATTCATTTATGAAGAGAATTCAACATTAGAAGTGTGAATGTGTGTAAAGCAGGGATCACACGATTTGTACATTTGGCTAAAAATTTGCAAAATTCATAGACAAACCGTGTGAACACTAAATTTTATTTGTCATTTATCAGAAAAGCCAAATATTTGGCTTCATGTGGCAAATCAAAAACAGCCTTAGTGGCCAAATCGTGTGAACGCAACCCTGCTACTTAAGCCAAATAAAAATTACGCAAATGACCAAATATCTGATTTGCCACTTGATGACAAATGCTTGTGACAAATATACAAATATGGTTGAGCAGTATTGCCATTTTATTAATATGTTCGAGATTGTGAAGTTTTTCACTCCAATTTTGACACCAATAATTTTAAAATATTTGTTTAAAATGAACCAAGGCAAATTTCTACAAGGTGATAGCAGCAGCACAAAAACAAAAAACTACACTAATAAATTAAACGCACAATGACAATGAGAACACAAATAAATAAAATATATAAATTTTTTAATATACCACGTTTCTATAAATGGACTAAAAAATAGAAAATAATATGGTTGTTCACGCTTGCCTGAGTATCAGGTTATCTTGTTATGTGGTAATATTTTTTATTCAGTTTACAATAATAAAATACTCTACAGAATAATTTTGTTTTAACCAGATAGTCCATTAATAGAAACGTGGTATATTAAAAAGTATTTTTTTATTGTATGTTTTTCTACTTTTTAGTCTTGTCTGTATACAATTTTGCAATAGATATTAAAATAAATCATTGAGATTCTGATACATATATGTATCGTATTTTATCAAACTGACATTTTATTTATTCTCTCTTACAACCTACGTGTATATTCTTAAGTATGTACATACATATGAGCAGCAATTAATTCCATTTAAATAAATGGCGTACCGTGCGGTTCCCCTGCAGTAGCGCATTGCATATTTTCAGGCGTAGTAATAATGCGATTGTTAAATATTTAACTGCTCCCGGCGAGGTAGATGTCTAGACTAGTTTGTTTACAATTGCCGCAATTCGCCTTGAAAATTTGCCTATTATTCCCCGAGCATATCTCAAGATAAATTAACAATTTATACATTGTTGTAAGCGGCGAAATGTATTTTTCATCGGGTAAACAGAAATAAAGTTATGGGCAAGTACATGCAAATGTGCTTCAACCAATGAAAAACGCGTTTTTAGACCTTATGCATATGCATAATTAGACCTGCTTGATTAAACAACCTCAGCTATGTCTCAGGGAAAGTATATTTTCACTGTCAATCAACAGTTTATTGTAAAAGTGGTAGTGATTTTTTCTTCGACTTGGTAATTTTTTCGTCTATACTTGGTTAAAAACTTTTGTACTGCGGCAACACTGGGTCTTCTCGCCCCAAAATCAGCTGTTTTATCCATTCAAGTGAACACAAATAAAAACAAAATACATTCAATTATTAAGTTGCTTTGATTAGGTTTCTTTAAAATATCTCGTATTTAACTTTAATCGTTAGATATTTTGGTGAGTTAATGCCTTTACATGAATAAGTGTACATATATATGTTAAAAACTGCAATTTATAATAGACAATGGAAGCGGTCGAAGATTTAGATCAGATTTTAATTACTGCAGTATGTGAGGATGTAGCCTCGACATCAACACCAATTAAAGATTCTGAGAAAAAAAAGAGAAAACGGCCGCATGTAACAACAGCTTGGACACAGGAGAACATCTTTAAATTAATTAACGCCATTGAAGTTCATTCATGCATATGGGAATATTCTTCTAGCGACTATAAAAATCGCCAACAAAAGGACGATGCATGGAAGCAAATTCAGGAAAAAATAGTTGTTCACAGCATGGATGAATGCAAGGCGAAATGGAGCAATATTAAGATCTCCTACAACAATATAAAAAAAAAATATGCAACTAAATCTGGTCAAGGCGCAATCGAAAAACCCCACTGGCCGTTCTGGTCTGCGATGAAATTTTATTATAATCATGACCGTGCTAAAACCACAACATCAGAGTCAAATCTGAGGTTGGACAGCGAAGTCGATATTTCAAACGATGATACTCAGACATCCAGTGTTAATGAAAATGCAAGTACATCGAGTAATAAATCGCCAGACGACATTTTAGTGTCAGCAATAAAAATGCTTGAACAAAAAGATGACAAATGGACAGTTTTCGGGCAATATATGGCAATGCAGATGAGGGATATTTCTGCACAGGACGAGCAAACAGCAAATGAACTACATGCGGAAATTATAAAGAAAACAATGGAAACGCTGTTGGCTGTTAATAAGACCAAATAACAGAGTGAAAATCTCCGAGCTAACCAACATTTTTTAGATGATCGATTTATTTCCGAACAAAAAACCATTTCGGTAAATATATAGAAAAAATTTCTCCCATGTGTACCAACTATGTAACTTTGGCAATTTTTGGAGATTCGCATTATTTCAACAGATATTTATGTTATCAGAATTTTAGTTGCAAGGCTTTGAATATTATTACGTATAGGTGATATTACCTTCCGATTGATATTTTTGCAGTCACAAAAACCGTGTTACATGTCCGTAGAAAAGCACGAAACACTGTAAAAATATCAATCGGAATATGATATAATCACTTATACATAACTATTCAAAAAACAAAGAAGATCTGTCAATTAAACTGCAAGTAACATACTTGAAATAATGCGAATCTCAAAAAATCGCCAAAGTTATATAGTTGGAACACTTTGAGGAATTTTACCCTATATACATATTTATGTATATTCTTTTCATATTTCTAATGAATTACTTTTAATTTTCTTGTTAATAAAATTTTAATTGTGGCACCTCCCACAAGAACAAACTGTTTACCTCTGGAATCGTGTATGCTAAGGTACTGAAATTTAGTAACATTTAAAATCTTATCAATATCGAACTAGCAGCGAAAGTGAAAAGTATTGCAAGAGGGGGAGTTACACATTCCGAACAAACAATTGCTCATAATTTTTTGTTACATGGAAGAAAATGCGCAATGCCGTCACCAAAAAAATATCAAAAATGAACGCGAATGTCAAAGCACTTCATACTTGCACGCTATTATACTGAAATATAATGGGCTATAAAATCGCATACCATAAGTTATTGTTGAAATTCTATTTGAACTTTTGATGAAAACGTGTTGAATCTTCTAAATTGTATACAAAGTTTGAAATTTGGATTGTTGGAATGAATGACTTTTATTTCTATAAAAAGATGAGCATTAAATAAATATAGAAACGTGGTCAAAATTGGTCAAAATGTTGTACAACTATTATTATGGCCATACGTGTATGCTGATTTCTAAACCAACACTCCCCGCCTGAAGATGTGTACTGACCCAGATGTTTATATTTTAAAGTCTATCTGACTTTTTTCAATTTTAACTATAGGTTTCATGAAAACATAGTTCATTCAATAACATAACGTCACTACACACGAATAAAGGCGCGCTAGTGTTTTGACGGCGAAAAAAGGCGTTTAAAAATATTTTGCGAAAAAAGATGCTTATAAAAAACTTTGGCGAAGTATGTTAAGAGTATTTGACGCTGAAGTTTTTTTATGCGTCTTTTTCGGCGTCAACTTTTGAGCTCGCGCCTTTATTCGTGTCTAGTGGCGATAAATCATACATAAATCAAAGTTCAAAGTTTTGTAAACAATTTTAAGCAAAATTTTAGCATAATCAAGTGCAAGTTTGAAGTGGCCAAAAATTCGCCTCGATTTTTGATAATCTGAATACTGAATAAAAATTTTGAGTGATTTTTCCTCGCCGCTTTCAGCTTTGGTTTATGTAGATGGTTTATGTTATTTTATGCACTACTATATTTTTATAAAACATTTAGTGAAAATTAAAAAATCGAATAAACCTTAAAATATAAACATCTGAGTATTGTTTGTAATCATCCGGTTGGGCACTGTAAATA